TTCAGACACTCAGCACTGTAAGTTTTTAAGAGTTCCTCATTACTGTGAAAGCACATTTTAAATATTGTTTGAAAGTTTCCATAACTTTTCTCGGAAGAATATTTGGCTGTTTGATGAATTCCATCAAAATTCCTACTTGATTGTTATTAATACTAATATTATCATCATTGTGTTGTGATTATTATTATTACTATTACTACTTTATCTACATTTTTGTTTATTATTATAGTGGCGTAGAAAAACGGTAGTAGTTCTGTTCAAAGAAACAACTGAATACATTAATGAAAATTATAGTAGGCAGTAAATATAAAAGTAAGCATTATGATGTCGAGTGCAGCGTCAGGTTAACTGGGTTCAGTGCCGATGTGGGCTCCCCGGATCAATTCCAATGGCGGGCGATTGCTGATAGCAGTAGTAGATAGAAAAACTAGCCGAGAGAAACGCAGAGTAAGGGCCTCCGCGGAATTTCCTTTTCCGAAAATTCGATTTTGTTCCTAATTAGAAGAAATTCTGAAGATACCCACCATATGTGAAGGATTGTGGACGAAAAAACTAACTAAGGGACAGAGATTGGCTGTTTAAAATATAAGAAGAAATCGTGAAACAGGTAGTTAAGTAAATATGAAAAAAAGAATAAAAAAGCAAAAAACTTGGAAAATTTTATGAAACTAGACATTAAATTGTCTTTATTGATTTTTATAGGATCGGTTTCTTATAAAACATTAAAAAGTAAAAGCAAAAAAAAAGAGGTGGAAGTAAAATAATTATGTTGGTACCAGAAAGCACAGAAAAAACCTCAAAATTTAAAAATTCTCCAGGGAAATACTATTGTAAACCGACTTTCATTTAACCTCGGTAAAAATGACCAGTTTACCTTCTTTACCTTCTTACTTCACTGATAAGCTAACATGGGGTTATTACTAAGCCTTTATTCGGCTAACTTTCGACGTTCTCATCTTCCACAGAGCCGATGATCCGATCCGAGTCGATGGCCCACAGTTGTTGGAACAATGAGACAATGTTCAGTGAAACTAGGTTCACTGATCATTTTTACCGAGGTTAAATGAAAGTCGGTTTACAATAGTATTATTTCGTTTAGCTTACATAACACCGACTTTTGCAGGATGGACTGTCCAGGAAAAAAGCTATTGTGACCGGACAATCACTGTTAACTACAACCGTCGTCTATAAAAGAGCGCTTGTCCCACTCGAGACATGCTCCACTGAGGAAGATCCGACTCGATACGAAGACGAAGACGTCACATTGAGAAGTTGATCAGCAGTGGACCATCGACTGGGATCATTGGCTCTGATGAAGATGGTGCTGAAACACTAGCCGAATAAACATCTTTATCAACCTCGTATTAGCTTGTCAATGAAACAAGGTACATTTTTTCCAAAGAAGATTTAAGAACGATCAAATCCATTGGTGCATTGAAGTGATGCGTTAAGTATACAGCTACAGTTCGTTCTCCTCATTCATTGCATGGCGGCGAACGAAGTGGTGAGGGAGAATTCCGGAGGAGTGAGTGGAGGTCGGTTCGTCGGCGACCGAAACAGCATCGTTGTACTTTCGCCGCTGGCTGACGTAGGTCGTCCGTTATCACTGCCGCCGACGAAACGAGTTCCGTCGGTGCGTCGTTTTGTCGCTCAGCCCACAGTCGGCGAACAGACGCTATCATTTCAAATCATCCAACGGTCGTCCGTTCGCCCATCCCCCTGTCCCCATATCCATCCATTCATCCGCGCTCCACCATCCGTTCACCCCGCGTCTTCTATTCGATCTTCCATCCACCATCTGTCCACATATCCGTCCAGTGGTTCATCCGTTCGTCTATTCATCCTTCTCTTTATCCGCTCCTTCGCGCTTTCATGCCCTTGTTCATCCGTCCGTCTCTCCACATATTCGTCCACAGGTCCATCCATCGGTCCATTCATCGCACCCTTCAACCATTTCTCCGCAAGTACGTCTAGCAATTTTTTGTCCGTTCTTTTGTTCGTTCATCTACCTTTCTCTCCGTGAGTCGCCCATCCGTTGCTTTATTCGCTCCTCCTCATGTCACATCCATCTACTAGTTCATCCGTCTGACTTTGTGCTTTTTTCTTTATCTTTGTAAAGCGTTTTCATGATTGAACTGTTTGGGTTTTCAAATAACTTCTTCGTAAACTGAGTATTCCCAGTAAGTATTAAATCAGTGAAAACAGTTTTTGTAATGATGGTTGGTTGCTCTTCTTCTTCGTTCTCGTTCTTTTCCAAATTTTCTTTCCTTTGCTTAGCTGACGTTTTCCACCAGTTTTTTTTCACAGCGACGAGTTTGCATCTTTTTTCCTTAGCTAACGGCATTTTTTTATGATAAAGCTTCATCACTCCTGTTAGTCTACTCACACCATCAAACAAAATTCTGAATAGACATGGTACTTTTACATAAAAGAAACGTAAAAAAGACTTTAAAATATATTGCTTCATACTGTTATATTTTCCTTCCTGCTTAAGCTTTTGCTCCTTCTTCTTCTTTTCAAGGACTTAAGGGTCTGAAGATTTTAACACTAAAACTAGAGGAAATATATCGCACAGATTGCCATAGAAGAAAGAAGAAATTTCGTGACTCGATGCTAATGAATCTCAATGAAATGCGCAGTCACATTTCTTACCTATTTCAGATCTCATTTTATGATAACCCGTAGGAATCACATCGGAGACGACGATTGTGTGGAACCAGCCATTTGAAAAGCTTAGAATTCATGTTGATTAGTCACATCGCTTGTTTAGCAACCTATGGTAATCAATGAAATAATCAAAACCGTTCGTTCTTTTTTGGTAACTCTATTTGTTGTTCATTTTTCTTTCTTTCCCTCCGTTAACGTTTCTCGAATATTCGAGCAATTCTCTCATATCTTGAATGAGGACGAACTACGTAGTTGTTGACTGTAGTAAGAAGCGACGAAACGGAACGTCGTTCTGAGTGTCGCTCTCTCCGGCGGCGTGAGCATCTGCACCACCTCCTTTTACAATATTTATAACTAATGAAAAAAATGGCCATGCAGTAAAATTCTTGACGAAGTGTGTGCTCTAAAAAAAGTCCTTGACAGGAGTCTCAGCTTTGAGATGAGTGCTTTTCCCGTATGATGTCGTTACTCCCTTGGGACTCCAACGGAATCTCGTCAATGAGTGCTTCGCACTTAGTTGTGGGAAGCCTTGAGTGAATTCTCAGCAATTCCGCCTTTCCTCTAATGGCTTGCTGTGTTCAAAAACATGTGATTGATTCCTTCATCAGTAATTTAAGCCTTCTGTTTCACTTAAATTGCATACTTTTTGATTAATTGAAAATTGGAGTGTTTTAAAGGACGGGTGAGCAGATCCTCATATTCTGTTTTCTAAGTTATGTTTGTAGTTTTTTTTTTTTTGCAGCAAATATTTTTTCTGTTTTATGTTCGGCACATAATACTCTACCATGAGAAAAAATAATGGTCGCTAAATAAAAGTTGTACATTGTGATTTTCTGCAATTCTTATGGGTTTTCACGTTTCCATTAAAAATTTCGTGGCGAAGAGCGCCTGTGGCGCAGTGGTCGGAGGCTACCTGCAACACACACAGGAAGTTGATTCCCGCTAACCCCGTGGCTAACCAAACCTTCCATTCCTCTGGGGTCGGCAAATTGGTACCAGACTTGTCTGGCAGCACTGGCTCAATACATCGGCAGGCGCGAGTCATTGTAAAGGCCAGATATGCCTTCAATCACCTTCAAACGATGCTTAATGAAGTCGAACGCACGGCGCACCCTCGGGGATTGATCAACGCCGAGAGCTTTATCTTTTTATTAAAAATTTTAAACTGTGTTTAATTGGGAGACGTTATTTTTTGTTACATTGAGTCTGTCACGAATTTCGTAACGAAAGTACAAGTAAAAATTACAGTCACCAAAGAACTTTCAATCTTAATGAGTGAAAATTTTGTAAAACCCTTTGTTCGAAACAAGTATGACAACTTTACAAAACGATCATACTGTAAGAAGAGGGAATAACAAGTTGGAAAGAAAAAATTTCCTGGCTAGAGTTCAAATAACGAGGCCCATCACATGTTCCTTCGCCTGCGAATTTATCATTAAACGATAAAAAGTAAGGAGTCCGGCGTCGATCATCTATTAGGGAGGCACTATGCGTTCGATTTCATTCGTTGCATCGTAGAGGTAATCGAGTGCGGCTTAATAGGCAGACGTACGGATGTACCAAATTAGTGTTTTGATCCACCCAAATAACTCTAGCATCAATTTCCCGACTTTGGATTCAATAAAGTGCTTGGTTAAGCCGGGGCGTAGGAACGAACCAACGACAGACTCTGTGTTTAAGGAGGGCACCCCTAACCAGTGCACTACACGAGCTCTAAATTTAAAGTTGCTTGATTTAGTCAGCTAAAGAAGGATTACCGTTAAACGTATAGTAGAACATACGTCAGTGAGAGTTCCACCATTACTGTAATTTTTCCATTCCTTCTTTCATCTATTTTTTTTCTCCGACTCTTTCTTCACATCGTTTCCCAGTTTGTCTTTACCTTCCCACTCTCCCTATCTATCTCTATCCTTCATTTCTCTTACTTTTTCTGTCTTTTCCTGTGTCTCCTCTCACTCCCTCTATATCTTTACGTCTTTTGCCCCTCCCTTCCCCTTTCTTCCTCTGTTTGGTTTAACCCGATGACCACCAGTGTGAGCAATTCGTAAAGCTGTTCACGTTCTAATCGAAGCTTTTGTGTGTATACAGCCTGCAATATGTTGAACAAATGACTAATCAATTCATAATCATCACAGACGAGAGGTAAATATAGGAAACTTTGGCTTTTCTCTCTTACCATCTCTATTTCCTTTCCCCGTGTTCCGCATTTCTTCATCCTATTTCTTATTCTTTTCCATTGTCTCTTTTCATGATTTCATGGAGTCGATGTTTTTTCTGATGCGTTCGAATCGATGAACCTGTCAACCGTCAGTTCTCTCTTACCTACACAGTCATTATCGCTCCATCATTGCCGTCATAATCATCACATCATCATCATCATCATCATCATCATCATCATCATCATCATCATCATCATCATCATCATCATCATCATCATCATCATCATCATCATCATCACCATCATATCTTCATCATTACGACTTCGGCCAGCGACAGGTCGTCACACTTATAACTTGATAGTTATCGATCTCTTAGCCATCAACTCTTGTTAATGGAAAACACCACAAAAAGAACATTTAGTTCTTTTGAAATTCTGGAGAAATCTGTCATTTCATTATCAACGTCGAAAACAGTATTCACTTTTCACAGAAGTATTACTTTAACCAATATCAAAAACTCGGCACACCGGCCTGTCTTTGGATTAAAAGTCCATTTTTAACCGTTTTATTTACTGCCTATTCATTTTAATTGTAGGGTATATTTCGAAATACACAACTTTCAATGATGCTGAGATTTTTGCAAAACTCCGGACCTCAGGTGTCTGCGGTAGGGAACGAACGCGCTATTGTCCTTTCCGGGGAGTAACGCGTTCACCACCACACCATGCGAGTCCTTCGTTTCGCCTGTCTCTCAGCTAGTTTTTAGGACACCTGCGGCCCGGAGTTTTGCAAATATCTCGGCATCATTTAAAAATCCATTCTTTCGAAGTTATTTCTTTGTTCTTCTTCTCTTCCTCAGACTGCACATCCTGGCTGATTCCTATCTGTTTCATCGACTTGGCGAATTTTTACGAGCGAACTATCCGGCGTACAATCTCATGTAAATTGAAATCACACAGAATTTGTAGTGATCCATTGGCTGCGAGAATCCTATCAGTCTAAATAGGACTTCCTTTTCAAATTTTAAGTTCTTCTTCATTTTTTCATTCCATGTTTATTTTTATGCCACAAATTTTCGTATCCCATTGGAATGGAGGAAAGTGTTTCATCCTTTCCTTTCATACTTCTCCTTTCGTTTTTTTCCCTATCATTCTTTCTTATTTCCTATACTTTTCTTCTTCTTCCTCTTTGACAATCTTGCATCAAAAATGATGAATTCTTTGCAACATTTTCTTAAAATGCATTATTTCATCTGTAGAACACGTGTTAGCTAAGGTTCACTGAAGAAGAGATCGAGAACTAATCAATACGCATGATTTGCACACAGTAATGAAGTGGTAAAATAAATTCCACCTTAACGGCATTTATATTGATACCGCATATGGAAATTTAAGAAGTCAGATATCACCTGTAATCGGTACCACCTGTAATTACCCCGTTAGTCATCAAGCGATACAAACGGACAGCGACAAGGTCTCTCTCGATTCGTCCCTGTCACACGCCAGAACAATCCACCGGGTTCTACTCGTTAAAAGAAGTCCAGGAGCATCATGTTTTGCCTATAAAACCAGGTACACTTTTTAAAACTATTTCCAGCGATACCGTGCCTTTGCGTAACTCGCGTAGGTTTGTCGTGGGAAAAAATGTGATTCTGGCTGGGTGTCCCGATAAATGTGCCGAACTCATTTCCAGTCTCGATCTACGTAGCGATCACTAATTCTAGTTGATACCAATTAGAGTTTTCATTTGTTTTTGATTTTCTGGCTTCCTTTCTTCTTGGGAAAATTGTAATCTCGGATGGTTCGCAAAGCTTTATCATAGCAAAGTCAGTGGATCACAAAGTGTAACTGATGCCTTTCTTAGAACGATCGTACTTTGAACTAGTTTAATTTTTTACGAGTTCCAAGAGAAAAATTAAAGAAAATGTAAATAAAAATCATTCCAGAATTGTTTTGTGTCTGGATCACTTCATTTACCTGCCTACCTACCTAGATGATACGTTTTATCATATTTAGTGCAGCTAGCAGGACTTCGTCCATTTATTTCATTGCAATATAATCTCCATCATCCACTGAGATGGTCTAACCCGTGTTTGGCTTCGGTAGCAACTTCAGGTTCTATTATCTTCTCCCATCAAAATCTTGAATGCCGGTTAAGCGTAATTTTCTCTAGAAAGCCGAGATAATCGAGCTAAGACATTCGTAGGTTGTCGTCACAAATATTTTCTGGCCTTTGTCTATCGAGTGGAAATTTAATTCCTTCTGACTTGGATTATATCAAGATTACAGCGCTCCTTGTAATGGATGCGAATTATGCGATTGGCGGACCTATTGTTTATGCATGAATTTATATAATAAATTGGGACCTTTTCTTTATTTTCGCGTAACAGTAAAAGTTTTGAACAGCTTCGGAATCCTTAATAATTGAGTGCTCTATGGCAAAAACTAGAGAATTCTTACTCATCAGTTACGATTTGAGTATGGTAATCATTAGGGTACGAGCCTAGAAACGAACACTATAACTAGCTTAACTCTTTTATTTACTGCCTTTTCTTCTTAATGGCAGGGTATGTTGCGAAATATAACTCGTATATAATGCTGAGATATTTGCAAAACTCCGCACCACAGGTGTATGCAGTGGGGAACGAACACGCGCTGTTGTCCTTACCGGGGAGCAGCGCACTTCACCACTACACCATCCGGGTCTTTCGCTTTGCATGTCTCTCAGCTTAACTGGGTTCAATGCCGATATTGGCTCCCCAGATCAATCCCGTTGACGGGTGATTGCTGATGGCAAAAAAGATCGATAGAAATAGCTGAGAGACAGGCGAAACGAAGGACCCGGATGGTGTAGTGGTGAAGTGCGCTGCTCCCCGGTAAGGACAACAGCGCGTGTTCGATCCCCACTGCATAAACCTGTGGTCCGGAGTTTTGCAAATATCTCAGCATTTCATACTATAACTAGCGCCAAAGTTGAGAGTTATACTTTATATGATTCTAGGAGAAGATATGAATGTTCTCTGTTTCTGAGTGAAGAACACTTTTTTTTACTTGGACTGTTTTTAACACTACTTTCTTAATGTTCATGGAAAGTACAGATTAACTGTGAAGAGTTTCCATGCTCCTGTGATTTCGTCTTCAAAATATTCTTGGTTATGTTTCTACATTTTACTAATATTTAAATGATGTCACCGTTTCCTAATCTTGGGTTGGTTTTTTTGTCGAATCGGGATGTACAGTAGAGAGTTCGTCTGTTCAAAAGGTTTTCCCGAGTTCTGAGAGGGGTTCGATTTTCAGTATAGCCTGGCATCTTTATGGCTACCTAATCACGAATATTTGTTCTCATGTGTATGACCTAAGTTTATATATTGCGAGGACGGTGGTATTCCTCTTGTTCGGTGCTTTGACGTGCATCCGTCATCCGTGAAATTCTTCGGATTTTCATTTGGATTCGGCCGACAGTTGAGGACTTTCTCTCCTTCACGACTATCATCGAATTTGGATCGAGTTGGTCCTCGCTCGAATTCAGAGATAACTTTACTAGTGGACTGTTAGATTTACACACTGATAGATTTCAGCCTTTGTGTATGCTCGGGATTTCATCCAAGGCAAATTTGATACTAATTTAGCGACACCTGAGGGATGGAATGATTGTTGGTTGGGGCGGAACTGAGCCAGCGACCTTTCGTGTATGCTACCACGCCTTGATTCTGCTTCCGCTTCTCCGCTAGCAATAGAAATTAATGGTGTAATAACAAAGTCGCGAAAAGGTTGCTGCCATCCTGAAAAATAGGGTGAACCGGGGTGTTCTGATGACAGCATCGAATGGAAACTCTGCTGATATCAGTGCCAGTTAGTTGACGATCAACGAGGTTCAGGTGTTACAATAGATTGACATTAAAGTGATTCACTGGTAGTCATTCCGTTATATAACAAAAGCATTTCTAGTTCCGTTTGCCGAACTGATAATGAAAAGTGGTAAAAATTGTTTTCTATGAGTAATATGTAGATATTTTTTCGGATTTCAACACTAAGGACAGTTATTGACGGTTCCACTGTGAATATTTTGAAAGAAAATGGAGTCAAATCCAAAAAGATTCCTCGTTCCAGGTTATTTTTCTCAAATTTCTTTAAAAAAATAGTTTAGAAAAGATGCAAAGGTCCTACAGTATGAATATTTTCGACTTTCTTGTTACTATAACTAAAAGACGGTTTTCTCTAAACCTTTCACAAATCCAGTTACACGATTTACTAGCGCACAATGGTTTGTGGCGCAGTGGTCAGAGACGTCCTGGAATACACGCACAGATATCGGTTCGACCTCAACACGCGTTAACTAAGCTCTTCATCCTTCCAGAGTCAAAAAGTTCGTTTAAAATCTCTCTAAAAGTGAAAAAACGTGCTGGCTTAGCGTGCTGGAAAGTAGTCATCTTATCTATCATCTTCAAGTACTTGTGATGACAGCAACATTTAAATTACATTCCATCATCTTGATACATTTTTCTTTTAAAACATCCAATCTTTTGTTCATGAAATCTTGATGCTGATTAGAGAGTTTTCAGTCCTTTTACTCGTTCATTTCGTTCTTCGTTTGAAAACTGTACTTTCACTTTTTTCGAACTATTCTTACGAAAAAAGTAAAACATTGTGATTATAACTACAGCGTCAGCTTAACTGGGTTCATTGCCGATTTGGGCTCCCCAGATCAATCCCGTTGGCGGGCGATTGCTGATGGCACTGATAGATATTCTTACGAAGTCAGGCTAATAGGGATATCAGGTTTTTATAAATTAATTAGTTATTTCTCACTAAACAAGACGTATAACGAAATAGTTCGTAGTCTTTTCACTTAAAATAAAATAACAGCCTTTCATCTTTTTCTCTATCCTTCACGTTAGTCATCTATCACAATTTTTGCATTTTTTGTGCTATTGTTGATAAATCAGACCACTTTAGTCATCACCAATCAATTTCCACTATACTCTCAGTCCATCGGTCGATAAATTATATGGAACGAAATCAGTTGCTCGTTATCAAATTATCAGCTATCAGTTAGTGATAAATCTAGGTCGTTTTCAAAGTGATGGAGAACGGAACAAGCAAGCGACGATTGTGGTTGGTCACACCGTCCGTACTCAATGAATGGCGAGATGGCGAACTAAATAATGAGACAACAACAAAGAGTTAAAGAAGCAGAGAAAACCTCGCTGTACACACAATGCACCTTCCCAATACTCTTACTATCGTATCGGTCTTTTCTCTGTGCATTTACTAACCAAACACAAGACGAGAACAAACGAACATCAGCCGTTCCGTTCGTATTAGGCGATGTCGGTTTGCTTTCCTCGAACTGCTCGTCATCATCTGATCGTATAAGAATAGACTTATCATCACCCACTCACTCAGCTTTCCTCTCTTCTATTCTGCTTTCCTCTATCTCTCTTCATGCCTTCATGTCTCTGATATCTTTATGTTATGATATTTATCAGTAAGCCCTAAAAAATCAGGACTTAGTAGAATTGGAAAATTTGTATCCATTTGAAAAAACTTCTGGATTTCGTCGGTTTTTACTTAAGTTAGTGAAATCCGCCACGAGATGAGGCATGTTGGTTTACAGCCAAGAATGGCAATTGTTCTCACATGCATTGGGACCAATGCAGATTCTGGCGTTATGAATGGTAATTGTTAAGCACAAATAATTTTATAACTATGTTTGTACGGCCCCACTTTCCATATTGTGTATATTGTATCATTTCCTCATACAGTTCGTTGTTTCATATCCGCCACCCGCAATGGTCTTCGGATTTCTGCGTGGGCGAGTTCGGTTGGGGACTTCGTCTTATATCATCGAGTGGTCGAATTGATTCTCCATGGAAACCTGAGATAGCTTCACTAGAGTGTCCGCAGGTGTTCACTATAGGCATTATCCAGCCTTTGTTTACTGGAAGTAGCTTTCTGCTAGGAGGTCAGGTGCCATTTTGCAATGCTCAGAGAAGTGGGTGGCTTGCTTGGCGCGAGACGTGTTCGAACCAACGACCATGCATCTGGTATTGCACAGCATCTGTAACTCCTATGCTTCCTTCGTCGAGTGTTATTTATAAAATTAAATATGCTTTTATTAAGAATTCGATGATGTCGGGCTATCTAGTTGTCATATTTTCATTTTTTCCTCTCCTCGCTCTTCTCTTCTGTATTTCTTTCATTTAACTCTCGATTCTCGGTCTACAAAGCTCACCTTGCTAGTCTTCCTAAGTCATCGACATCATTTCTACAACATTGTTGCGCTTCGGTCTATCGATCATCACACTTTACGCGCCTGTCAGAATCCTATCATTCTTTTCTGTCATTCATATTCTTTACACATCTCTCAACTAATTTTCTTCACTGTTCAGCACTTTTTCGATGTATTCATACATATGCAATTCATTGATTACTCACGTAAAACGAACATGACGACTCGCTGCAGTTGTGTAGGACGGCGGTGTTCGACATCTCGTCATCTACGTACTTCTATTCAAGTCATCGAGAGCTGAACATTATATTGATTATATCGATCGAAGTCATACCGATTCTTGGTCGTTTCTTTTTTAAACTTTTCTTTCTTGAAATCCAATCCACTTGATAACTTTCGTTTTCAATATTACGACTATGGGAAAGCGTCAGACGGGTGACGTTCTGCACAATCGTCCAACCAGTCAATAATATCACAAAGACGTGGCACACTAACCCCCGTTGTTTTTTGATCTACCTATTGTTTTTATTATTATTTAATCTTTTTCACTGCAGTTTTTTTGATTTTTGCTTACAAAGACGAAAAACGAATTTCATTTGTGTACTATGACTAGAAAAGCATCGACATTTATGGCAATATTCGCCATATATGGCGCAAACACCTACATAAAAGGAACAGTGATCGGACCATATTGATCAAATGGATCTGAAATGGGACCATTATGCCCAAGTGGAATTTTTTGGGCTTTGAAAAAAGAAAGAGAAAAACTTCTAAGGAAAACACTATAGCGCGAAAACCCCAACGTCAATTAGTCATTTATAAACGTTAAACTCTTATTTTACATTGATGCAGGTATGGGAAGGACAAAATGACGAGTCATTCAAACCAAAGAATAGAGAACAACAGTTGGAATTCATTCTTCTGTCCATCTGTGCATCCTATCTCTCTCTCTCTCTTTTTCTGTCTATTTCACTTCCTCTCCGTCTTTCTTCCTCTTCTTCGCTTTCCTTCTTTCTCTCTCTGGACGCATTGAAGATGAAAAACTCGTTCTCATAGCAGTTTTTTAAAATATAATATACATAAATATGTGCATGCACATGTCTCATGCATTCGACAACACATTTATTACCCATCGCATGGCACTCTATTTTCCATTCCAGTGGGCTGTTCTTCTTTCCTTATCTTTTAATCTCTTAAATAAATCATTTTCACCTCAGTAAAGATGTTTCTGCTGTGAATGAGAACTTTGTCGATTCCTAGCAAAATGTTGCAATGTTCCAGGCGTCCTGAATCCAGACGTTGCTGAGAAATCATTAGCATTTAACTCGGCCCTTAAGCTTAATTGCATTTCGTATTCTGTTTCTAAATGAAGCCTTGAAGGTCACTCGATAATTTGATGTTTGCTAAATGTTTTCTAGACGAGTTACACTTGTGGTTTTACAGTTACTCGAACCGGTTCTCACAAATGGTTTACTGCTTCTTCATCATGGCTAACTGCCTCACATAAGTGTCGAATCGCAAAGCATAGCGAGAAGTTCTTCTACATGAAGAACCATATCATGTTCAGAAAGATGTTCATCTACCAACAGGGTTATCCTATAGCAAAAATGTAACACTATTCATGTGCAGTTCCCAAGATCGACTTTCTATTAACCTCAGCATTGGGTTATAAATCTATTGTTCTCTTTTTTACAGCAATCGTGAGGTTTTTATTCAGCACACCTTCACTTCCTTACAAATATAACACATACAACGAAACGGTAGCGGATATTTCCGCAGTATCGTCTTCTTCAGAGCCTGGAAGGTTACACTAATTTGTAATTTACTAGGTCAGATGCTTCAACAACGCAAACGGAAAAATGGAAATCTGAACAATAATTACACGATCACCGGCTTCTCGAGAAACCCATCGCTTTTTATCTGCCTACCACCGAGGAAGAACAGCCACTTAGAGTCGCATATGGTTGACTACTGCACCACCCCACATCGAAAATCAGTTTTGAGATGCGGAGCTAGATCATGTGTTATCTCAGGACATTCTTCTCTGCTATTCATTCTTGGATTTTTGGAATTTACCCAAAAGGCCTCGAGAAATTTGCGCGTTGGTGTTTCAGTCTCCCGTGCGGAGATAGCGACTTATACATCGAAATCTTCTCCGCTATGTTTCTGTATCCCATGCGTGCTTAGTGGCGTGTCTTGTTTTGATTTTCGTTTACTATCAAGGTGTTTCTTTATGTGGGTACATAAAGGTCTGCCCGTTTCGCCGATATATTCGTCTCCGCAAGCGCTACAAGAGATCGGGTATATTGCACCTGAACTCATGCAGTCACCGTCTCTTCCGTAAGGGCAAATTACGCAGTTTGGTGTTTCACATAGACGGTCATACAGGCGGTTACGAACTAACTGACGACGTAGAGTATCCGGTGGTATTTCAACTATCGCTACCGATTCCTCTACAGCTGCCCTTCTTAAGCATTGCTTTATCGCTACACTTATTTCATCGCTAATGAAGGGCAAGATAAACGGGATTTTGTTCCGGCCAAATCCTTCGTTTTGGAGCGTCGTTCTCCTCCTAAACTTATCTTATGGGGTTACTATTTCGTAGCCATTGGAGATGGCTATTTGCCGAGCCAAGTTGCGCGATTCTTCCTTTAGTTCCCTACTTGTGCACACAGAGGTGGCTGTTCGAAACATGTTTTTCACGGGCGTCCTCTTTGTGTGT